TTAGGTTGATAAGCCTCCTAAATCTTTTTTTTTACTTTTTTTTATTGAGTTATAGTCATTTTACAATGTGTCAAATTCCAGTGTAGAGCACAATTTTTCAGTTATACGTGAACATACATATATTCATTGTCACTTTTTTTTCACCGTGAGCTACCACAAGATCTTGTATATATTTCCCTGTGCTATACAGTATAATCTTGTTCATCTATTCTGCATATGCCTGTCAGTATCTACAAATTTTGAAATCCTAGTCTGTCCCTTCCCACCCCCACCCCCTTGGCAACCACAAGTTTGTATTCAATGTCTATGAGTCTGCTTCTGTTTTGTATTTTAATCTATAGGTTCCTCATCTGTTTTCCTTGCATTAGGAAAACCCAGAACATGAGAAATTCCATAGGAAAAGTGAATTTTCCTAATTACATCCCCAAGATGTTCTTTAGTATGTTTTTCTGTCTTCTGTATTTCTTGTAAACTAGTTGTTGAGGTCTAGAGACTTCAGGTTTGATTTTGGGGGGTTTTTTTGGAATTGCTTCTGGATGGCATCATGCACTTTTACGAGGAGGTGTATAATACGTGGTTGTCTGGCTTTTTGTGATGTTAAATTGGGGAGTTAGTGAGGGCTTGTCAGTTTGATCCATTCCTACTGCCGTCCCATCAGCCTTTCACCTGCAGCCGTTGTTTTGTTAGTAGTTGCAAAATGATGATCTCCTAATTCTGTCATTCCTCCTGTATTTATTAACTGGAATACTTACACCAGGAAAAACTTTGCCTCATCAACTAGTTGTTATGGAGTAGTGTTTGTAAATAGTGGCAGGATAAATGTGCGTTTTGTTTTTTTCCCTTTGTCTGCCAGGTTTTAGAGCAGGAAGTTCTATACCATTCTTTACAGGTTAACAGTGAGGGTTTTATTTTTCAGGATTATCATGAGCTCCTGGATTTTAGCATATAAGAGTTTTAGTGTATTTGTCTCAGTTTCCCATACTCTCTGATGCTCAAATTGTTCTATCCTTGTAGAAGCCCCTTTAAGTTGGGTCTAGAGGTCTTTTGATAACTGCTTTGCCTTCTGAGATAGTAAGATGTCCCAGGCTCATCTTATAACTGGCTGATTTTTTTTTTTAATGTCAAAAACCATTTACTCACCCCAGTAGCATGAACACACTTAGATCTTGGTTTCCTGGATCTGGACTCAGACCTTAGTTGTTAGTGCCGTTTTCTAAGAAAAGGAAGCAGGGTTCCATGGAGAAACGTCCGATTCAAGGACTGGAGCAGGGAAAACACATAATAACTTTGGAGCACATTGTAGTGTGAGAAAATAAGGTAGTACTCAAGAAACAAAATTATACACACACAGTGTTGGGAGTGTGTCAGAGGACATAAGAACCAACTGAAAGAGCTCTCATTGGCCAAACTTGGGACAATCTGAGCAGCAAAATAAATGAAGTGGAATTGGACTATAACCCTAAACATAAACATCCATTTATTTTATTAGTGACCCTACTGTGACAAAATTAATGGAGAACAGGCAAGTCTCCCTGGGAGAAGAGCTGTCAGTAATTTATGTAGATGCCCCTCCCTCAAGGAGGTGGAGCATAATTCACCACTCCTTAAGTGTGGGCTGCCCGTGGTCACTGCTTCCAGAGAGTACAGTGTGGAAAGGGCAAAGAAAGAGTCGCCCGACAGTGAAGAAACCTGGCGGTAACGGCTTCACCGGTGATCCGAGTTAGTGCGGACAGTGGCGGTCGTGGTGAGAACACTCACCGCTGACAGGATGTGACGAGAGCGCACTGCATGTCTGTGGTCCTCCTGCCCAAGCTCGTGATTCCAGCCTGTCCTGAGGGAAACATCAGACAAATCCCAGTTGGAGGATACCTCATGAGTTCTCAAAGTGGTCAAACTCACCAAAAACAAGGAAAGTTTGAGAAACTATTGTAGTCAAGAGGAGCCTAAGGAAACATGACGACTAAATGTGGTATTTGAGTGGGATCCTGAAACAAAAAAAGGATGCTACTTTGAAACCAAGGAAATTTGATTAAGTATGGGCTTTGGTCAATAATAATACATTTATTAATTGTGGCAATATACCAAAGCATACGATGTAAGGTCTTACTAATAGGGGAAAGTAGGTCTGGGACCTATGGGACCTCTGTTCTATTTTTGCAATTTTCCTGTAAATCTTTAACTATTCTAAAATGTAAAGTTTCTTAGAAATTTAAAAAGATGCTTACCTTTGGCAATAACCCCAAGAGCTCCTATCTGTGTAGGGCATCGTTGTCTTCAGACATGTCCTCAGTTCCTTTCTTTGAGTTTCTCCTCTAGTCTCCAGTTAGGCAGGGAAGTAGTGCTTTTTATGAGCATTAAGCTCATATCTAAAAAAACACGTCAGCGCTGGCACCACGGTGAAATCAGAATTGGGCTGGTAGACATCAAGCAAAGAGTAGTCTCTTCTCCACTGGCTGAGTTTCTAATCCCTTAACGACCAGAGGGGACACCACCCGCACTGCTTGAAGCCCTGCCTTTGCCTGGGAGGGCAGCACTGAGTCTCTGCCCAGACAGGCCCCCTACACAGCGATGGGCCTGAGAGGCAGGGAGGGAAGTGGGCTCCGTTGTCCATGACTCACGCTGAACAGATGGTGTCATTAACGTGGGTGGGGAGCATTGGGGAGGGGCCGCCTTAGGGGAGAATAGATCCGGAGCTGTCAGGGGTGTGCTCAGTGTGCCGGTCTGTCAGGCATCCAAGCAGAGATGTTGGAAGGACAGAGAGTAAGGGATTGAAGACAAGAATTTGGAAGTCATCAGTGTTTAGATGGTTAAACCATGAATTTAAATATGAGACTAGATCAGATTACTAGGAAACCAGAGTAGACCGAAGAGGGAAGGGTCACGACTGAGCCCTGGAGCTCTGCGCCTCTCCCAGGATGGAAGAGGGAAGGCCAGCAGAGGGCAGGCTGGGGAGCATCGGAGGCCACGTGCACTGGACGCTGTGTGCGCACTGTCCCCCAGCCGCCGTGTGCGTGGGCTGCTAAGACTCTCAGCTGTCAGCTGGTCCCCTTCCTAACTCCCACCCTATTCCTGCCATGCAGCCAGTGACCGATGGGCCAGTGGTGATGGGTTCAAATGCTCAGGCCCCCGGTGGGAGCAGACTGAGTAAGCTGGTCTCCAGCTGACACACATCCTTCCTTTATTCCCCAGACCTGTCCCACTTCCTTTATTGCCTCTCTCCTGAGAGCAAGCACTCGGGAGAAACGGCAGTAAAACACCCAAGTGCGGGGGAATCGCTGTCTCAGGCCCTGCTTTTAGGGGCCATAGCCAAAGACACCGAGAAGAGGATTTATCAAGGAGTGAGGGAAGTGCCTTAGGCAGTGTTAGCTGCCCTTCTTCTTCTGCCTGGAATAAAACTTCCCCTGCTGTGGTTGCTCTTCCTCCACCTAGAGTGCACTCTGATCCCCGACTCGGTGCATAACCCCTACTGCCCTGGTCACCGCGTCAGAAAGGAGGAGGCCACGTGACATCGTGAGGCTGGAGCAGCCAAAGGCAGGATTGGAAGGAAGGCCAGGCCTCGGGGGCGCAGGGAGGAAGCAGTCAGTCCTGCCTGAGAGGGGGAGGCAGTTCCCCAGAGGAAGTGACATCTGAGCAGCGCATTGAAGGAAATCCTGCACCAACGTCAAGGCTTAACTCGAGACCCATGCTGGAGCGTCCCCAGACCCTTCTATCGCCTCTGTTGGGTTCAGCCTCCCATTTCGGGAGCTGTCCAGCTCCCCGTCCCTGCAGAATTCACTTTCCAAGCCATTAGCAAGTTGGGGAAAAGGAGCGAAGAGGAAGACATCAGGAATTATGTGACTGCTGAGTTGGCTGGATCTTTAAGCCCTGCCCAGAATCCACCACGTTCCTGATCGGCCCGTTCTTCTGGGACCCTGACTGCAGCCCCTGCTCCTCAAGGTCACGACCACACCTTCCGGGCAGCTCACCCACGGAGCGCCTCATGCTGCCTGTTACAGGTGCCTCGTACTGACTGTTGGATTCAGAAGACTCTGATTTCTTCTTGGAGGAGGCCGTGAAGGGAGGCTTAGGTGGTGGACGCACAGCTGGGAACTGAGGACCCATTTTCCTTAAGCACAGTGGAGGGAAACAGAAGGAAAAACCTCAGCGCATCTCCGCAGAGCGTGTAACTAAGACATTCCAAATAGAATAGAATATGGAGATAAATAAAAATTAGAAGCAAAATATGAAATAATTTCACACCTGTCAGATTGGAAAAAATGTAAAAGTCTGGCAGGATCAAGGATAATTAGGATATAAGGCAGAGGTGAACTGCTGATGGGATGTAAACTGTTTGGGTCACTCTGGAAGATAACCTGGCAAAGTCTGGTGAAGACAGAGCTGCACGTGCCTCCAGCCCAGTTGTGCCTAAACGCGGACTCCGGAGGAGCCCCTGCACTTGTGCACGGGGAGGCTGGTAGCAGGATGTGCATGAGCTGCCTTGTTCGTAAAAGCAGGAAAGAAAGGGGCGATAACCTAAATGTTTATTAGCAAGAGGATGAACAGATAAACTGGTGTCATCAGTGACTACAGTGCAGCAGTGGGAATAGATGAGTGAGAGCCACACTCGTCAGCAAGGATGAACTCCACAACATCATGCTGAGTTAAACAAACGCATAGAGGTTTTTACAGGTTGAAAATGCTCAGAAAGGTTGGTGATGTTTAAGTTGGTTGACTGGTACATGGAAGGTTATTATCCCAGTTGCTCTTTGGTGTATGTTGCATTTTTTTCTGTAATATGAATTTTTTTTAAAAGCACAAAATAATGAAGTTAGAAAACATACATAGGTATAAAAATGCATGTGAATTAAAAACATGAAATGTCCAGGAAGCATTTTTTCCTCAAGGGAGGGAAGACAGGTGTGGAAAGAGCTCACAAGGGCTTTCAGTGGTCCTGGTGGTATTTTCTTAAGCTGAATAAGGAGAATTCTGCAGGCGAATTTTTCTTTAAACTTTTATATGTGCCGTAAATATTGTGAAAACCTTTTTTTAAGGCTATGGAAATATTTCCACCTTCTCTCAGCTCCACTTTTTTAACCTGTAAAGTGGGAGGTCATGATAATGGGATACCTCCCCCCTAAGATATTTGTGAAGATAAAATAAGCTAGTGCATGTGAAAATGACTTGCAAACTATTTAATTATTATTATTGCTAAAAGAAAGTGTTCAAATTCCTTGCCAAAGAAGTAGGCGAAGCTGAAATATGTTCATTGTGGGAAGATCAGAAAGTGTAGAAAAATTCTGATGAAAATCACTCTAATCCACCACCACTGAGACTTTATTTTTTTAAATATGATTTTTGTTTTCTTCTGTCAGAACTAGAATTTGTTGATAAAGCCGCTTTTGAGAACATTCTGCGTTGCAGAAGTCTGACAGCAAGAACACATGCTTATTAAGCAGGAAGAAGTGAGGTGTCTTCTCCAAGCTACGCTGGGCGCTCCTTGAGGGCCGGGCATCTGTTCCATCTGCGTGCATCCTGTACGCAGCACCCTGGTGGTGCTGAGTGACTGATGGCCACAAGCCAGTTTGGTTGACCTTGGTCATGGGGACAAGTGCTCTGAACAGGAGCAGGGGGCCTGGGGCTCTGGCCTGGTGCCTGACCCACCTTGAGCCTGCTGTGTGACCTCAGGCAGGCTCGCTTCCTCCATGAGACTGAGTGGTCATGTCAGCTCTCAATTGGCTAAAGCCAGTAACTATTGTCTGCACCACGAGTATTTACGTGAGAGTAAGTGGGAGGTGACGATGGAAAACGCGTGCTTTGTCACGATGAGGTACTCTGTAACCTCAGGGAATAGTACTTGTGACTGAACATACTTTCCACTGAAATTTCTACTCAGGAGATGGCAGCCGGGATTGAACAGAGAAGGATGGAAGTTGGAGTCACAGAGAATGTTATTTCACTGGATTCTGAGGTGTGCACAAATCAGTGACTGAAGATGGTCAGGAGATGAAGGTACCAACTGTTGGATTTCCTGCAGACTGCACTTTTGGATATACCTGTTCAAGGCATTATTTTCTGTTGCTTTAGTGGTAGATTTAGCTGCCACTGACCAGATGAGAAGACCAGGAATGGCAATTTTGCATTCGCGTCAGGAGACTTGGTAGAGTTCTTTTTTCCTAACTTAGGCCTGCCTGATAATATAAGCTCTCTTCAGGAAGAAGATGTGTTATTTTCCAACAAGGAGGTTTAAAAAACATCAGGAAGTTGTAGATGTGTGGTTCCTGGGAAGTGTTTTGGGAAGCCAGGGCTGAGCGAGTCCCCCCGTAACACATTCAGATTCAGGTTCAGAACCATTCAGAGGCACCTTGGTCCCTGGACTCCAGGGCTTAGAAAACCCTAGACCCATATTTTCTGAATTCCTTCCTTGTCTCTTGACCATTTTCTTCATGGAGCTTCTTATCAGCAAATTGAATTGAATGGATGAATGAAGACTGGATCAGTGAACATTTAAGTGAGAGAAATAAATTGGATTATGTGGAAGTGAAAGCTAAAGTTTTCCTCAAATGTAGTCAATGTTTCAGAAGACTTAAGAAGAGACACTCTGACAACTCAGTAAAAAAAAAGATAACCCAAGTAAAAAGGGACAAAGGATCTGAATAGACATTTCTCCAAAAAAGAAAGCAGATGCCCAGTAAGCACTTGAAAAAAATGCTCAACACCATTAGCCGTCAGGGATGTGCAAGTCAGAACCACGTCACACCCTCTAGGATGGCTATAGTTAAAAAAAAACAACAACACAATAGCAAGTGTTGGGGAGAATGAAGAATTTGGAACCTTGTACATTGTTGCTGAGAAATTGGTGCAGCCACTTTGGAAGACAGTCTGGCAATTCCTCAAGAAGTTAAACACAGAATTGTCATTTGACTCAGCAACTCCACTCCTAGGCATAGACCCAGGAAAATAAAAACATGTGTACATACAAAAACTTACACACAAGTGTTCATAGCAGTATTATTCATAATAGCCGAAAGATGGAAACAACCCAAATGTCTGTCAACAGAATGGATAAACAAAATGTAGCGTATCCATACAGTGGAATATTATTTGGCCATATAAAGGAAGTAAGTACTAACACATGCTACTAGGTAGATAAACCTTGAAAACATGATGCTGGGTGAAAGAAGCGAGACACAAAAGGCTGCATATTGTATGATTTTATTTATATGAAATGTCCCGAATAGGCAAATACGAAGAGACAGAAGACTAGTGATTGTCCAGGGCTGGAGGGAGGACTGGAGGTTGACAAAAGTGTTCTTAAATTTACTGTGATGGTTGCACAACTCTAAAAATACAAAAACCTGTTGAATGTTACATTCTTAATAGATTGTGTGGTTTGTCAGTTTTGTCTCAATAAAACTGTTATCAAAACAAAAACAAAAACAAAAACAAAAACCAAGCCCGCAAACTCACTTTAACTGGTTTTAACATCTTACTGTTGAGAAAGAGGTTAGTATAAAATTCTAAAGAAATATGGTTAATTGTCCTTCAGGAGTATTTTAATTTGGAAAGATTTGTAGACTGCCACTGTGTGCCTCGCACAGTACTGGGCTTCAGGGACACAAACGCAGAGAAATGGCAGGCTGGTGAGAACCAGAGACGGTCCGGGGGAAGTGCACGAGGGAGTATCTGGGACATCGGGAGGGCTTCACCACCAGGTGACAAGGTGCAGAAGTTTACTCCAGGCCAGAGGTGGCAGGAGATGTGTGCTGGTGTGGGGTTTTAAGCTGTGGAGTTGGGTGGGGAGTACAGTTGGCAGAAGGTGAGTTTAGAAAGAGGGACTATCTTTCAAACCTACGGTCTTATATTAAAGAAGAGGAAACTAGATGCATAAATCCTGTGCTGAAGCAGTCTTCATCCCCTGGAAGTCTTAGCTCACAAATTAACAATACAGGGTGCTCACTGAACGCTTGCTGTGTGCCTGGCGCTGTTCCAAGGTCCTTTCACGTCACACTTTTCACAGCACCTCTAGAAGAAGTGCTGCTGTCACCCCCGTTGCAGACAAAGAAAGGGGCCCAGCAGGTCAGCAGAGGGATCTGAGGTGCACTCGCCACCACACTTCACAGACCCTCGTGCTGGCGGGCGCCCAGCTGGAGCCCCTGTTCACGGTGAGTTTCTTCCAGCCTCTGTTTCAAGATGCTTTTGGTTCTTTGTTAAAAAATGACTAAAGTATCTAAAATTAAGTTGGCTCTCATTTTGTTTTTCTTGTACAATTGAAGTCATTACTGTTTCACTTAATAAATTATAAAGTAAGAAGAACCAGCTGCTAAGAATCACTTAACAGGGCTCTATCACTTGAGCTGTTTGCATTTAGCATTTGTTCAAATTACAGTCTTTTGGGGTTGAGGGAAATATTTTTGAATGTTGGTGATCCTCCTTCACTGAGATATTTTCCTGTATATTTCTATCAAATACAAATTATATTTATCAATACCATTTGAAGGGTTCCAAAGATGAACATCCCTGAGATGGCTTAACTGGCACTGGTTTGATTCTACCTAAAAATAGTTCTAGGAATAGGAAGTGAGGTGACTTATTTAGGACATTACATTACAGCCCAAATAGGCTTTCAGTAGACCCACCCTGTATCCTTAGTGTAGATTTCTCTACCTTTAATATTCCTCAGCAAGTATTTATCGACAAGAATAAGTATAAAATGATAGAACATCTTACATTGGAGAGGGTGACAGGCTGGCATTTTGGGGGAATAATCAAAGACCTAGGTGAAAACTTGGCTTAGCCTCTGTCTTTTTGGTAGAAGAAAACAGACTTCTCTAACGTCTTAATGCTGAAGTTCTTTCGTGCCCAAAGCAAACAGGAGCCCCATTTTTCTTGAAAAGGGAAGGAAAGCTCTGCCTTAGAATGCCTGGGCAGCTGCTTAGCACCCCGCCACGTAATCTGGGCGCCTGAGAGCCCAGCTGGCCCCCTCCTGGTAATTCCTCAACACTCTGGTATGTCCCAGCATTGCCAAGTAGACTGGAGGGATCCAGAGAACAGGAAATAAGCTGCCGGGAGATAAGACGGGCAGCTCTGAATCGCAGACAAGAGAGGAAATGAGAAAACTAAGCCAAGGAAACAACACTGCAATTTAACTGTATTTTTAAACCAAGAATCACTGGAAAGATTTCTTTCTCTTAATTTAGGGGCGCAACCCACCTATGTTCAGTTATTCTCACAGCAAAGAGGTGCGTGGATGCCTGCTGCATCTCAACTGATCAAGAATTGCAAAAAGATGAAATTGAGTCTGTGAACTTTCTGTTTATCCCAAAACTACTACTGTGTTGTCATAAGACCAAGGCATTTTTAATGTTAGAAATAACTTTAAAATACTTTTTTGCCTCTGCTCTTCTGTGTTTGTGTCCTGCTGTGACTGTGCAGGCTGTTTTCATGAAGAGAGGTTTTGTTATTGATATTTACTAAGTATGCAATCAGACACGGCAATGGATGTTAAAGAAAAAAGGCAGAAGTAACAGAAAATGTGACTAACCTCTGTTCTCTGAACTATGACACATTGTCATCAAGTATCATTTTATAAGGAAGGTCATAGTAGATGAATGTTTACTGTGTTTAATTTAAGGAAATAATTTAAAAACTAATCAGTCATGACTATCACATTCTTGTTCGTCGTATTCTGTCCTGCAGCCATCCTGAAGTGCGTCAGTGATGGTGGGCGGAGACGGTGAAGGTGTCCTAGCGATGCAGCACATTGTGGGCTGCACTGCTCAGGCCAGTCATCGTTGGGTCTGAAAGAAGTTTATGAAGTCGACTTTTACTGACGTCTTAGAAATTCTAAATTTTAAGACACATTCAGTGCATTCAAAGACTTTTGTTGTATTAGTTTTACTGTTTTAAAAAATTAGATCAGTAATTTAAATAGAGAATTTGTAAAACTAGTCTTTAAAAAATGAATCTAGAATCTGAAAATGAATGTGTGTATATTCAGGTATGACTGAAACATTGTGCTGTACACCAGAAATTGACACAACATTGTAAACTGACTATAACTGAATAAAAAAAAAGTAATGCATCTGGATTGTTGCCCCTCCCCACCTGTGTTGAGCCCCCTCCTGTGTGTGTTCACAACTCTGTACTTGCATATAAAGCAGGACATTGTGTCTGTTTAGCGAGCTGAACTCCACAGGGACAAAGATTTCTTAACTTCTATCCTCAGATCCTGAAAGTTTGTAATAGGCAGTCAGTCTACTCTGTGTTGGCTGTTGTTAAAATGGGAGTTGAAAATAATTTACTTGAAATAGTTTTCAATAGCCATTCAAAGATATAACTGAATAAGAAACCATAACTTGTTATATGTTACTGTTTGACATGGCACATTTAGCATTTCTGTGTGTCAGTATTCAGAGTGAGTGAGCCTCAGCCCCCTTCCTCAGGTGGGAAGGGGGGTGCATGTAAACCGATGGTTACAGTGGGTGGTGTGAGCACTGCACGTGCAGAGCTGTGACCAGGGCGAGGGCAGGTCCCAGCAGAGGGATGAAGCTAGATGGCCCTGCTGGGAGTTGTAGTGTCCACATCCATGGAACTTGCTTCTGTTTGGCCTGGGGGCCGTTGACTGGGTTAGACTTGACAAGTGATTGCTGGGTCTTGAAAGATTGCAGCCTTAGACCTCTTTTTGACGTCTGCAGCATTTTAAAAAGGAGCTACAGTATCCTTATATTTTAAGTGGGTAGTAATTTCCTTTTGGACAGTTTGAGGATTTTATTATGCATCTTGCAACAAATGCTGATAACCACCAAGTGTGGTGGACCAAGGCTGGGGGCCTCTCCTAGCCCCCTGGTACCCTGGAAATAAACTCAAAGACCTAGAATCAGGTGTGCTCATGGTACAAGTCTGAGAAGTGACAGGGCTTCTGCGTTGGTCTTAAATGTGGGACACAGATGGGTGTGAGGAGGGCTCTGTGCATTTTGGAGACCCTTGACAATCAGTCCTTGGCCTCACTTGCTCACATTTCACATATTTGAATATAAGTGGAATCTGGTGACCATTTGCACCAGTGCTGTGTATTCACAAGGGCAGTTGGTTTATTAGGCACAGAGTCCCTTAAGGAGACAGGATTCAAATCTTTCTTATAAGGAGCTGGCATGCTTTTGCTGATTAATAACAGTCCTCATTTGACTGACACACATCAGCATATGTCCACGTGTCCATGTGCATTCTGGCTTCCAGCTGGACTTTGAACTTCCTGAGCTCAGGCCTCGTCTTCTCCAACTCCATGTTAGTCTCATGGCAGCATGTGGCATGGATCTGATGAGTATGAGCCAAATGAATGAATTTGTCAGGATAAACAGCATGGGCGGGTTAGGCAACACCTGGGAACATTTCCTGCAGTGAACGCGGTTGGCTCTGTAGCTCTGTAGCTCCGGGGACCACTTCCTGGCCCTGTGTCCTTACAGGTTTCCCTGGGCTCAGTGAGGGCGCCCTCAGGTTCCATGGGTGTTTACTGGATCCCACAGACCATCTCCCAGCGCTCGCCTTTTAGATGAGGAAGCGATAGTTAAAAAGATGAATGATTTGTCCAGGTTCAGAGTTTTTCAAATTTAACAATTAAGTTCTTGTACTCATCAGTTTCAAAGCTTATAATTTCTTCATATTTCTTCTGTGATAAATCCTAAACAGCTTCGATGTTTACCCTATATGTTTTTTCCAAATTGTCATGTTTAGATGCTGAACTATTTGAAAATAAGGTAGTCTAGAAAAGATACAAAAAATTTCACCTTGGAAGGAATATGAAATTCAGTAGTCCCTATCCTTTCTTCTTCCCATACTAAATAAATGGTATCTGATGCAAATACACAGTAGCTTTGAGAAAATCATTTTCCCACTACCCAGGACCCTCAGAAGAGCAATTGTTGCCCTGAGAGGCCAGGTGGGTACAGGTAGGCTCTGGGCCCCCTCTCTGTTTTCATGGTGATGGGCATTTTCGTGCTGTGGTTTGTTTGCTCAAGTGTCTGCTGCTTGTCAGGGAGCCGTGTCACCTAGGTCTGGTTCCACGAGGCTCTGTCGAGGGTGGGCTACGCCCTGTCCCCTCCACTGACCCACCGGTTCTCCCCAAGTCCCTGCCTTGGACTACACCTCCTCTGTAGTTCAAGTCTGACTTCGTCCACACAACCCTGGCTTGCGGTGAACGCCTCTGGCATGTCTTCCAGGTGGTGCTGGTGAGGTGGAACGAGCCGTACCAGAAGCTGGCCACGTGCGATGCAGACGGTGGGATATTCGTGTGGATTCAGTACGAGGGGCGCTGGTCCGTGGAGCTGGTCAACGACCGAGGGGCGCAGGTGAGCGGGCAGGAGGCTCTTCCCTGAAGGGCTAGGGCACGGGGCGCGGACCGCTGATTCCAATTTCGGGACCACAGTCTCCCCAGGGTCGGCAGGTGCAGGGAAATGACACCCGAGCCCCGCTTCTGCTCGCTGCGTTCCCCTGGAGTGCACCCCTGGATGGAGAGGCACAGGTCATCCCGCCTCCCCTCGGCTGTGCTGTGGAGCTGGGAACCCTCCTGGTGTGAGGCTTTAATTAAATCTGTGAAATCGTCTTTACCCTTCAGCATTGTGATTGCACGTTCAGTTGGGATGCTCTGAAGTGCTTCTGGCGTGTGGCTCCTTCGCTCCCTCTGGAAGGTGTGGTCCCCATGCTGTGGTCCCATGGTGGTCTCGCAGAGAGCGGGCCCCAGGTCCATCCGTCAGGTGTCAGTCAGCGTGGCCACCTGTCGTGTCCCTCTGCCCTTCCTTCCTGGCAAGGCACCTTTGTGTCTCTGCTCAGAGGAAGACAGTTGCTCCAGGGACGCCCTGCTGAGCAGTGCTATTTTTACAGCCACTTCGTGGGTCCTCGCAGCTCCGCACTCCCTCCCCCAGTTGGGCTGCCTGGGGCTCCTGCCTGGAGGGTTAAGGACACGACCCCCTCCCCCCACCCGCAGACCTTGACTGAACTGAGTCCTGGGGAACCTTTAATGATGAGGGTTTTCTCAGACTGCTTTACTCTCCAGGGATGGTTTCCCTGCAACTGCCTTTCTATGCATTTCTAAGAAAGTGAATTCTCACCCTCTCTTCTCCCATCTGTTGCTTAAATAAGTTACTGGATCGTCAAGTTTGAACAATACAGACCAGTGAAATGACATAAAATTGCAAAGAATGAGTCTATTATTAGTAGTTACTGTTAGACTGAAGATCTTTGTAAGATGTCATCGCTGAAGGCAGACCTATCTCTGGGTAAAAACAGAACATTCTTTCTTGTGAGTTATTTGGTAGGGTAAGTGTAATAATTTTGGCTGATTCTGAAAAGGCCTTACCACTTTCCTTTATACCTCCGTGAGTGAAAAAAGGAAGAGTTGGCATCTACTCTGTGACTGCTCACTAACCTTGATGTAGAGCTGTTGTGGAAATCTCTGTGACCATGAGAAGTTCGTGTCACCAAGAAGGAGGACACTGTGGTCAAAAGTGTGAGCTCTGGAGTCAGACCGTACCATCCAGGCATCTTACTCCATGGGATACGCACCTCGTCTGTGCCTCAGTTTCCTGTTCTGCACACATGGGGACTCCAGTGGTACCTGCCTCCAAGGATCACTAGGAGTATTCAATGAGATTAAATATGGAAAGTTCTGTGACACTGTCTGCACGTCATGGTTGTCACCACATATGACAGTGCCTGTAGTACTGTGAGGTGCTGGCACTCATAGCCCCCAACCACAGAGCTTCCCTGCTCTTCAGTAGTAGCCATACTTTCATCACCAAAGACCAGCTTCAGGCTGCGAGGCAGCACCTCTTCACGGCTTTCTGTGTAGCGGAGACTCCTCTGCATTTGCCCTTATATAAGGGTCTCTAAAGTGCTGCTCTTCTCCCACCCACCGAAGCATGAGCTCTTCCCAAGAAAGGCCCAGTGACTGGGCGAGACGTGTCTTCAGACTTTGCTGGTAAGAGGTCTTTAAAGCATTACTCCGACAAAGACAGTGAGGGGGGACTTCAGAGCTCTGCTCGGGGCCTGCCTCGCCCATGTGTTCTCTCTCGGCCTCTGCAGGGACCCTGTGCAGAAGGTATTGTTACTCTCAGTTAATGGAAGAAAAAACCCAGGTCAGGGAGCTGAGTGACTCATCCAAGTAGGTTAGTTCCTGGGTGGTAAAGCCAGAATTTGAACCCAGGTTTGAGTCCAAATCTCTCTGTCTTGTTCCTGGACAATAAAACATTTTCTCTTTCAGCAGAAATGCATGTATTCATACTATATCCAGAGACCTCAGGCTTCAGTACCATTAGAGAGCCAGGCCCCGCCAGCCCGCTGGTGCTGCCACACTGTTTTCTCCTGACCACAGCCTCTCTGAGGAGGGAACCTCCTGTCATCTCCATGTCGCAGCCATGTGGTCTCTGCCACCACCTTAGCCCTCAGCCTTTCTTTGCATTGAAAGTTGGATGCAATGAAAACATGTTAAAAACAGGAAAGGATGAATTCAGACCTGGAGGTGAATGAGCTTACATGGACCGTGGAACATCTGGAAGCACCCAGAATCTCACAAAAGCCTGTGCCTGCCAGGTTTGGCCAAAGGAATCACTGTGTCTTGTGATCTGGTCCAGAGTTTTATATAAGTTTTGCTGTTTGGAACTCTGATTCTGCAAACCTCAGGACCCACTGAGCAGTTGTCATCATTAAACACTTGCGTTTGGTTGACTTTAATTGTGTTGGAGTCGCATCTTATCTGAGTTTAAAACAAAAAAGCATCATCATGCACTGGGAAGGATGACTCACTGGTGGGGGGAGTGCTGGTCTGTGCATCCGACGCCGTGTCGGCTGGAAGGAGGTGCATCCTTGAAATCTGCTCAGAGAAAAGCAATGCTTTTTAGAGGAAATGACAGGTGATCTTTGTTATGTAGCATGGCTCTTGTCACAAAGTGATCAAGCATTTGGCAGAAGCTTAATGATGCCTTAACAATTTCATTTTCAGGAAAGGGTGATTATGAGTCCTTTATTTTAAAAATGAGTCTGCAACAGCGCCTGCATTATTTTATAGTATTAGTCACTGAGGATGACTGTGCCAGGCATGGGCATCGGACAGTCAGAGGAAAGGTTGCTTTGGGCTGAGGTGGTCCAGGCTGCCCCTCAGCTTCGGGTGATGGTGTCTGGGAAGATTCCCAGCGGAGCAGCAGCGCTGCGGCCCCTGCAGTGGAGAGACAGCCCGAGGGGGCCCTCTGCTTATTTCCTTACAGCACAGGGGGCTCCATTCCCCTGGTTTTGTTTTTCCAGTTGTGATGTATTCTTATCACTCTATGCTGACCTGCTTTAACAAACCCAATGAGTTCATGTAAACATCTTGTATTACCTTTTTTTGTGACTGTAAGATTGATGGTGTCTCTCAGAAGCTTCTTATCACTGGCTATACGTTTTAGCCCTCTGATACTAGAGACGTTTTTCTTGAGTACAAAGATAAATGAGTTAAAGTGCATGTAAATAAGTAGCATTATCTTTGCAAAATGAAAGGACTTTTAAATTTTATTGAAGAATTAATGTGTTGTATCTAAAAATATCTTTTTAAGTTCTTAGGAAAAACTAGACAGTGTAATTTGTTGAAACATAAGGTCAGTTAAACCAGGATTCTGAGTTTACCTAAGCAAACAACCTTTTTCACTGATTTCAGACCAACTGTTGAAGAGCTGTCTCTCACATCCATGCCATCCGTGGTCGTGGTAGAGACATGCTGATCACTGACAGCCCGTAGCCCCAACTGGGAAAGCAACAAAAAGTTCATGTCCTTTTGGTGTTTGTTCATTCATTTTAGTATTATCTGAACTGTGATAAATCCAGTAATGTTACAAATTTTTAAAGAAAGTTGAACATTTCCAATTATAAGCAACAGTGAAGATTATAGATATCAATTTTTTTAAGTTAGAAAAGATTTAAAAGGCAGTACCAACTGAAAAAGTGAATCAAGGTGATAGAAATGGGACCAAATGTAACAATAATTAGAATAAATGTAAATGGACTTCACCAATTAAGAGATAATATTTGACAGATTATATTTTTTAAAACATAGACATGCTGTTAAGAGTCACACCTAAAACTTAAGGACATATACAAGTTTAAAGTAAAAGAATGAAAAAGATGTATCGAGCAAATATCCAGGAAAAAAAAAAGTTGGGGCAGTTAATATAACTTTCAGATAAAATAGACTTAAAGATAGAAAGTAATGTTCAGTTTTTAGGGTGCTGCCACATATTGATAAAAGCTGTAGTTCACCAAGATGATATTTTAAATTTGTATGCGCTTATTAATAATAGCATCAAAATATATGAAGGAAATTGATAGAACTGAAAGGAAAAAATGATGACTTCATTGACATACTAAGAGGTTTCAACAACAAAAAAATCAGCAAAGATACGGAAGACCTGAGCAACACATTTAACAAGCTTGACCTAATGGAAATTTATAGTTTCTGAATCTACCAGTTAGCACACATTCTTCTCAAACACACATAGAATGTTTACAAAAATTAATCATGTTCTAAGGTTTCACAAACTTCTTCTGTGAAGGGGCAGATGGTACATATTTTAGGCTTTGTGGACTAGAAGTCAAAATTGAGGATATCATGTAAATACTGTGTAACAAGAAAGAAAAGAAATTTTGAGAAAACTTTATTGATAAAATTAAAAACTATTTGTTGATGTTAAAATTTGAATTTTACATAATCCTATATATAACAAAATATTCTTATATTAATTTTGTTCTACTCATTAAAAACCATTCTTAGTTTTGGACTATACAAAAACAGGTGGCAGGACAGATTTGGCTCACTGGCCATAGTTTGCCAGTCTGTATTTTTTTTTAAC